CTTCCATAAACGCAATTAACTAAGAGCAGGAGTTGAGATTATGTGATTACCACAATCATTGCGGTTTTATAAGTTATTGTTGGCAAGTTCAAAACTCAAAAGTTATTATTTGAGTTCAAACTAAAATCGGCGGTTTTTGCTAGTGAACAATTCAACCAGCATATACCAATTTACGAAACACAAAATCCCAAAAACATACTTGAACTGCATGGGAAGATTTCGAAGGGCGGGAGAGGGGGCCGGTCATAGTGAAATGAAAACTTTCTTTTAATTAATGTTTCGCAATCGTTAATTGGGCTACGTATAGAAACGCGAGGAAATTAATCCAAAAATCCTCGAGGCTCATGTACACCGACTTTCCCGAATTTCTGCCATGCAAAAAGTTTGAAATACTATTATCTATAAAATAGCCGTAAAAATCCCACAAAGTATGCAAAATCGCGAATTCGCTTTCAAAATCCCAGAATCAACCCGAATCTCTTCACTGAAAAACTTGCCAAAACCCCTAAAATCTCAAAAAGCCTCGTACACTTTGTTCATGCAGAGTAAATATACAATACGTGAATGGCCCACAAAAAAAGCGGTAAGATGAACTAATTAATTTCTTACACAGTGCAAAAGCTGCGAAAATCGTTCATTAAAAGACAGTTAACGTTGTCACATAATTTACACCCTGCATGCACAATCCACATGCATGATTTATCTCCGTTTTCTTCAATTTTCAGTACAATTATGACCGGTATTTGGAAATTAAATAACGAAAATAATTTAATATTCTGGTTATCTACCAGAAAAACTATATGGAGTGGAATTAGTTGCCGCGAAGGCGAGCTGATTACAAGCCTATATATTATACCTCAAATTCATATTGTCCAGTGATCATAAAACGGCATTTATACCACGTGACAATGTGAATTTTTAGGTATTTCACTCAAATTCATGATTTTGCAACGCAGCGTGAGATACTATAATATCCCAGGACGTGGGATGTTGTTTGTTGGTAATTTCGTACACTGAAAGATTTGATTTAACAAAAGATGATGAAGAGGTATGTTACCTTCAATGATCCAAAGAATACAGGCTCAAATATTTTAAAGAGAAAACGTCAAAAACTCAGGTATAAATAAGTTTAAACGTTGTGTTCGCTTAATTTTTTAACAAGTTTATTGGGTTTTTAGTGGGTTCTTTAACTTTCGGTATGAAAGCCTGTCGGGAAATATCATCACTTCGGGTAATATTTCATCAAATCCCCCTCGCTCTGGGTCAAATAAGCTTGTCCAATCAGAGAACTAGATTTGTACCACATGACCATGGTATTTTTATCAGTTATAGACCTGTAACAAGGGGTATAGTCCCCAAAAATTACCCTGAGGGATGAAATATCCCTTCGCGCAATTTTTTGGGGGCAATACCCCCTCGTCCCAGATCTATAACTGATAAGTATATAGGCTTGTAAAAATCTTATTACTGACCAATGCACCTGATTTTTAAGTTATATTTGCATGCTATGGGAGGACAAAGAGGCGCAGTTTTAATAACTAAGGTCAGAAACATTACAAGATATCAGTCAATTTAAGACAATGTCTGAGTGCCGAATCAAGTAATCAACTGATAAGACTTGGCAGCGTAGTGTGTGGAACAGATGCGAAAAATGCAACTATACGTCCTCTGTTGGCTGCCCTGCGATCCACTGCAGCGCTCTAACCAACTGAGCTACATGAGAGTCCAGTTGTCGAGCTCTAACCACAAATTCATGAATATATACTAGGGTACTGCCATGTTAAGGTACGGGTAAATGTCAAGATTTTGTTTGGCATTTTTCTCGATTGAAGAATTAGCCGAATTAACTGATAAGACTTGGCATCCCCATAGGTCATAGTCTTGAACAATAATATATATCTACATGAAGGGTTTTGTAGGTGGAAATTATCGAGTGTAAATTTTATATACATTTATTGGACCTAACCAGGAACGTTGTTTGTCATGATGGTAATGGCGCAAGAAGATGGCGAGCTCAGTATGGCCAAACAACGCGGAATCTCGTAACCGTCCTCGTCATCAAATCTGAAGCTCTCTAGTAACTACAGCAACAAACGCTGAAACAATTAGTTAATGAACACGCATGTCAACACTTCGAGCAGAGATACATGCACTCTTAGCGTGCCTATTTTTTATCTCAGCTTACGTCACACTATCCCGCCCGCAAAACACTGGAAATTAAACACAGGTTATTTTAGCACTTATAAAAACAATCAAAGACAGCATCCGTGACAAACAACACTATATGCATGATGAAAAATACAATATTGTAATATTGTTGCCCGTGGTATCATGGGGCAAAATTCACAAAAATAGATCCACAAATCGTACACGTGTTTACCTTAAGCCCGTTTTTCACTAGACAAATTTGCTGGCGCAAAGCTCCTTTTTCCTCTGTCGACATCGTTTATCATGCACAGCAAAATCGATGCTGACAAAGGAAAAAGGCAAAAATCCCTTGTGAGAAATCCCATGGGCTCTTTGTTATCTTCGCGCTCATACGGCTATTATCTAATATGGATGCGCGCAAAGATTTCGAAACAGCAAGTAACAGAATAATTGTAACAACAGAGTTAAATTCGCACATTTATAACAAATGTTTAATTCCAGCGCAAGTTTGAGGTTTATTCTCAGGTATATTATACGGAGATATGTCCGTAGAACTCTCAGGAATTCCTGCGACCCGCGAAAGCAGAAGACTTATCCATCTTAAAGTTTAGCAATCGAACTTTGTGACCCTGGTTGTATTGATCTATTATATACTCATCAGTCATGATGGTCGAATGCACCAGAACGTCTCAAGCCAATGAGTAGCCTGACAGATCGACGTGCCACTATCGTCTGCAACGCAGGATGTAGCTCAAATTTCGGAACCTTATTATAAGTATTCAAACAGTAGACATCAGTTTGTTATGCGGCAGCTCAAAGGCCATCATGGGCATGAGTTTGAGGTTCCGTTGACACGTGACGGGCATCATGATTTCGAAACTGCGCTCGTACAACTATTCAATTTCTGCAAATTCACCTTTCGATTCGAGTTCAGTAAGGGAGCATGAAACTGGAATGATTTCAACTATACAGCTAACCGTAGGCGTAGCCAATTAGGAATTCCCATGTGAACAACTGATAGGGAACGAACTTGCGCGTCAGCGCGTGATCTGAAAATGTATAAAATAAAACATTAATCATTTCATAGGCGCAGGCGTCGGAGCAAGCGCCTTTTACCTATGAGGTCGTGGGTTTGATTCTCGCAATCTCGTTGCCCACTCATGTGAAAACCTCGGAGTGAAAACCACTCGTGTACTCAACACTCTCCCGAAAGTCTGCCTGACGTCGTGGGTTTTCTCTGGGTGCTTCGGTGTCCTCACCCCTTTGTGGAAAGTTCGCAGGGTGGGAGATAAACACAGCTAAGAAAGCAAATCACAATTATTGTAAAAGATAGAATATTCTAGGCAAACTATGTAATTATGTGAGCGTAACACATGTCACATGATGTAAATCGCATTTGATCATATCCACATGTAAATTTGGGTTATAGTAGTACAGAAAACTTAATCTTTTATAGTAGTATAGAAAACTTAATCTTTCATAGTAGTATAGAAAACTTAATCTTTCATATTTTACTTGCTCTGCCGGGACGATGAATTTCAGCCGTTAATTTGAATATATATAAACGGTTTAACACTCACTCTTGTTTTGGCTGATATTCCCCGAGGCGGCGGCGCGAAGCGCCGTGCGAGGGTACTATTTCCCCCCGGCTATTTACACCCGGGGAAACGAATGACGAGACAGACGGCTCCAGGTTCGCAGCTCCAGGTTCGCGAACCTGGAGCCAGCTCCAGGTTCGATTTCAACCTGGAGCTGGAACGACTAGTTTGTAAATAAACTGCTTTGCCCGCTTAACCACTAATGGAAATCAAATTTTTTTGAAAGACCATTTTTACTTGTCATATTCCTTAGTACGTGAGGGAAAATAAAGACATTATTCCGTTCCGTTCGTCCATGGTAGCTTGTGAAAGATCACTGTTTTTTCTGACAAAGGGGCTGGTCAGCGGTGGGATAGATCGCAAAGCTCGTTTAAAACCTTATTTTTTTACCTTTATAACGAAAAACGTAAAATTTTGATTGATTACCATTCTAGAGAATGTATTCAAAAGTAATGTCAAGCGTTGAACTTATTTCCATATCGCGAAACCGCGATAAATAACTCGCGCAAAGTTGAACTGTCTAATTTCACGCACGGCCCAGTTGTGTTAATTTTATCCTTCCGTAAATACAACAACTTTGGTATCCGTACATTTACGCTTTATATGAGTAATAAATTGATATGTTAATGACATAATATCATTTGTTGCGCTTTTCTGAAGAACTAACGATATAAACATGCTTAATATCCGAAACACACGACGCAAACAAGATCGCTAAAAATGGTGTTATTATGCGGCTCAAGTCGTTGAAAGGCCGCAACATGTCAAATACGTCTAGCATCGTCTAAATTGCTTTGCAAATTTCTTGCTAATTTCGCCCTGCCACGAATTTCTAAAAGATGACCCTTCTAGACTAATATTCATACTATCATATTTTACAGCATTTGAAACTTTAGGATACATATCCACCATGAGCAACTCATGAAAACACTAGCATTCGTTACCGAGATGAGAAATCAACTTTCAAGAGATGTGAAATATTAAACGTAAACAATAAACACGTCATCAGCTGGCACGTGCCGGACGCAGAATAATATTTTGGGCTCACTTTTTTCGAATTTGCCTTGTAACCAAGCCTGATCCAAGATGGCGGCCATCAGTTGCTAAGCAACTTACCTTTATTTTTACCATAGATGATTTTTACCGCAAGAAATTCGACGGAAATACCACTTCGATAATTCGGTAAACCGCATTTTGGACTGAATTTAAAGAGACAAACAATAACATAAGACATCGAAAAAGCAAAAGCGAAGATTTTAATCGAAGAACCAACTCAATTGATGTTTCAGGTACTGCGCTAGTACGTTTAATAGTACTGGCTCATGAGTCGACAAGTTTTATGTGGTTTTATATGCAACTGATATACACTATAAAATATTAAAATCGCATGACTGAATATTTGTGAAATTTCTCGATATTTTTATCGTTTTTTTTTGCATTTACATTTTGTGATTTTTCTATTATTTCTATACACAGTGTTCTACTGTTCAAGGGTGTATACATTTATCAATGATAAAATCAATTTTAATCAATAAATATGGCAGATTGCTTTTTCCACACAGTTAGGGGTAACTGAGTACTTTGGAAGCCCAAAGGCAGGTAGTGGCTCAGAGGTAGTGACTCAAGCAAGTGTGGAAAGTCTGCCATGCAAACTAACACAAACATTGAGTCAGGAACTTCATGTCATAAAGTTCTTTGTTGGTTTGCATGTTGATAAATAATAATATAATGGTTTTAATATGGAAACACTTTGCAGAGCTTTTGACTGTAAATATATTATATTTGCACTGATGAGCATCCGAGCTTGTGGATTGCAAAATAAATCATTTGTGGTGTTTCCACAAACAAAACAATTATGTCAACTTATTCATGTCAACAAAATATTTTGTACATGAAATCCCCTACATCATATTAGGGAGGGGGGATCAAATGTCACACCACAATGAATTTTACTTATGCCAAATATCATAACCACCTCTTGATAACATGTTTAATGGCAAATCGTTAAATCCATGTCAACAGGGGAAGGGGTGATCACCCCCAAATTGATTGGTGCATTTTAAAAGTTCACTGTAATTACTGTATTTTAAAACCAAAATGGCAGATTAAAACTACATAAGTGAAGTATCATATTTTATAATGGCAAATTGTATTTTTTCCCCACAGGGGGCTGAGAAGTTGAGAACAATGATTTTATAAGAAAAGAACCCCCGTCCCTGGAATTTCCAACCCTGGAATTTCCAAATAACACAAAATCCCCTTCCCTTGAAATGCTAAAATTACTGGGTTTGAACTTAATTTAACCCCAAATCCCCCTCCTGGAATTTCCAAAGTTCTGAAACCCCTTGTGTGGAAAAAACAATCTGCCATATTTATTGATTAAAATTTATTTGATCATTGATAAATGCATACACCTTGCACAGTAGAACACTTTGTATAGAACAATAGAAAAAACACAAAATGTAATTGCAAGAAACGATAAAAATGTCATGTCATGCGATTGTAATATTTTATAGTGTATATCAGTTGTATATAAAACTTGTTGACTCATGAGCCAGTAGTATTAAACGTACTAGCGCAGTACCTAAAACATCAATTGAGTCGGTTCTTCGATTAAAATCTTCGCTTTTGCTTTTTCGATGTCTTATGTTATTGTTTGTCTCTTTAAATTCAGTCCAAAATGCGGTTTACCGAATTATCGAAGTGGTATTTCCGTCGAATTTCTTGCGGTAAAAATAAAGGTAAGTTGCTTAGCAACTGATGGCCGCCATCTTGGATCAGGCTTGGTTACAAGGCAAATTCGAAAAAAGTGAGCCCAAAATATTATTCTGCGTGCCGGACATTTGATAATCTCAGGGGAAAACCGTATTAACTATAATGTCGGCATGCAAATGCAATAAGGACATGGCAAGGCATTTAAGAGTGCCGAGGAATAGGTTTATAGGAACAAGGCAATTTTCCTTGTTTAGGTATGCGCTGTATTTTTTCAATACATGAAAAAACACAACGCTTTTTCACAAAGATAAAATATTTTTAAAACATGCGTAGGTTTGAATTTGCGATTGCGCTGATTATGTTAATTAAGAAGGCTTAAAACACACCCCTCCTATTAATTAACTTATACGGGCAAAAACGATGTTTTTAGCTCACGTGTTAAAAAAAGAATACAGCGTATATAAACCTATGCATAACATTATAGTTAATACGGTTTTCTCCTGAGATTATTAAATGTCTTGCACGTGCCAGATAACACGGAATATTGTTTAGGTGTAATATTTCACATCTCTTGAAAGTTGATTTCTCATCTCGGTAACGAATACTAGTGTTTTCATGAGTTGCTCATGGTGGATATGTATCCTAATGTTTCAAATGCTGTAAAATATGATAGTATGAATATTAGTCTAGAAGGGTCATCTTTTAGAAATTCGTAGCAGGACGAAATTAGCAAGAAATGTGCGAAGCAATTTAGACGATGCTAGACGCATTTGACATGTTGTGGCCTTTCAACGACTTGAGCCGCATAATAACACCATTTTTAGCGATCTTGTTTGCGTCGTGTGTTTCGGATATTAAGCATGTTTATATCGTTTGTTCTTCAGAAAAGCGCAACAAATGATACTATGTCATTCACATATCAAATTATTATTCATATCAAGCGTAAATGTACGGATACCATCATACCAAAGTTGTTGTATTTATGGAAGGATAAAATTAACACAACCGGGCCGTGCGTGAAATTAGACAGTTCAACTTTGCGCGAGTTATTTATCGCGGTTTCGCGATATGGAAATAAGTTCAACGCTTGACATTACTTTTGAATACATTCTCTAGAATGGTCATCAATCAAAATTTTACGTTTTTCGTTATAAAGGTAAAAAAATAAGGTTTTAAACGAGCTTTGCGATCTATCCCACCGCTGACCAGCTCCTTTGTCAGAAAAAACAGTGATCTTTCACAAGCTACCATGGACGAATGGAACGGAATAATGTCTTCATTTTCCATCACGTACTAAGGAATATGACAAGTGAAAATGGTCTTTCAAAAAAATTGGATTTCCATTAGTGGTGAAGCGGGCAAAGCAGTTTATTTACAAACTAGTCGTTCCAGCTCCAGGTTGAAATCGAACCTGGAGCTGGCTCCAGGTTCGCGAACCTGGAGCTGCGAACCTGGAGCCGTCTGTCTCGTCATGGGAAACGAAAGCATTAGCGAAGTCTAAAGTTCATCAATGAGCGCGGGCGTCGGTCACCAACGATGGGTGGTCATCCTCACTGATCTCAAAAATATGGCGGACTGTCATGAATAACGGACACTGATTGGTCCAATTTAAAGTTTGCATTATAATGACTGCATGACGACAGCGAAATAGCAAACATTTCTTGATTTGATGAGTTGATGATTGATAAATTTCTTGCAAATATTCTTCATTTTTGCTCGTATTTCTGCAAGATTTTGTAAATTTCAAGAAAGAAAGGGCGAAAGAATCAGCTAAAAGAAGGGGGCCGACGTTGACGAATGTAAATTTGTTTTAAATATTGATTTTAATAATTTTATAATGGCTTTAAAGCCCGACGGCCTTTGTGTATATGAAACAACTAAACAAGACAGCATATAGTTTCAGTGTATCTTTAATATTGATTCCCTTTTTTATTATATTGAATTTTTTAAATAAAAAATAAAGCAAAGTTATTTGCAAGCGAGAATTTGAAATCATTTTATTGCAAACTCAAAGTTTATCGATAAAGCCATTTCATAGTTAAAGGCAGTTTAGTTTCACAAAGAACACTTTAAAACGTTTTGTGAATTGTTTGTGGTTGAATTTTACCTTAAATTGAAGCTTGTATTACGTATAATTACATACCTAACATATATATATGTTGGGAAATTGATAATTTTGTAATTAAAAGTGATATTTTTAATAGGCGATTTTCATTTGTAAGAAAATTCTTAAAAAATTATCGTGTTACCATGACAACTACTTTAGAAACTTCATGTTCGGAAAATACAACGGTTTTGTCAGCAAGGCGAGGGTTTCTGCATGCATGTATTTTCTAGTTTAAGTTTAAGCGAGACGATTTTCGGCAGTTTCTGTTTTTTTATACGCGATATTCACTTTTCGCCCCATTAAAAATTCAAACTTCATCCTGTCCGACGGAAAAGCAAAATATGCCAATTTCCTTCATTGATAGAATTCGGCACGTGTTTCTAGAAAGCCGCATATATGTTTATATTATATATTTGATTTTTGCGATACAATCTTGAAGCTAGCTATGTCAACAAGTCAGTTCAAAAGAAACGCTCAGAAACCACGATTAACCGATAATATTGCGAAAAACAGCATGACTTATTAAACACAAAGGAATAACAAATGAATCGAGGCGGTACGGAAAGCGAACAAAGTGAATTTAACAAACACAAGGCGGTTCGACAACTTTTTGGCTTTTTTTGTATGACAATGCTCAATAGGGAAATAGAACACAGCAGGTGTATTGTCGAACTCAACTTCACAAGGCATGAGATTATTAACTTGCAACTAATTATAAAAGAAAGTGTCCACTCAGTGAGAACGCGTTCGGCTTCAGAGGGCGGTTCAGTGAATCATAACATATAACCCAGCGGGCAAAATGATGTTTATCCAACGTTGAATCAACGTTGGAAATGACCTTCCAGACGTTGGATAGACGTTGAAATAGGGTTGACTATGCAAATTGGATCGACGTTACTGTTTCGACGTTGAAACAACGTTGAAATTAGGTTGCCAATCTCGTCAACCATAATTCAACGTTGAATCCACGTTAAAACAACGTTGGGATTGGTTCACAAATCGACGTCGTACATTTAACCATGAATGAACGCTAATTCAACGTCTGTTGGCTGCTGTTGAACCAATGTTTGTAAAACAACATCAGCGCAACGTAGATATTAGTTGTCGACGTCGCAACCTTTTTTCTGCCCGGTGGGAATACGCTAAATAAGACTGGGGTACTAAAATATCATCCATTTGTGTTTTACATCTGGGCACAATAGTTTGGTTGATAGGCATGCAACTACATGAAAAATACAAGGAGAACTTCGACGTTTCGAGCGAAGACCCTATATGAGAATGTATTGTTCGATAATAGACACTCGAATTCGATTTTTTAGATCTTGAGCGTGCACGAAACAATAGCTTGAAACCGAGGCGGAATATAATCGACTGCTGAGGCTCCAGTCACACGATTTGTTCAGGAGCCAGTATACTATTGTTCCTCGCACTTTAACAGTTTCGTTTTGTTTTGAACTGTCTGTGCCAGCCTATAGGTATATAGTGCCAATATAAATGTGAACAAGCTTTCGTTGGTAGGGATGTCGGATGCAACTACCTGACAAGTGTAAGGAAAATTTCTCCTTATATTTTCAGGTAGTTACATCCTACCGACGAAAGCTTTTCGTTTGATTTTGTCATGCCATCGCAATTTTATGTGTTAAGATATTCACCTGGATCCGTTTAAACGTTAAATTCGATGTCGTAACAAGTGAATTCGACAACGTATTACTGGGGCCTATACAGGCAAGTAGTTTTCATTGACAGCCAGCAAATTCGGGACGTTTCTAACATGCTTGTATTGGGTATAATTATAATAATAATAATAATGATAATAATAATATTGAATTGGGTATATGTTTACATAAAAACACAAAGTGAAATATAAGCATATTTTAAATATCTGCCTGTTTCTGCATGACCTGAAAAAACAGAGGTTGTACTCGAAACGACACTATATAATAAGTCCCTCATTTACTACCGGCTTACACATCCGATTTCAAAACGGCACTATTCAATTTCAACGAATTAGAATGTGTTATTTATCAAGTTTTCTGGTGTATCACGGCAACTATCAAACAATTTGTCTTGCTGGGTATATTCATCCTCAGCGGGACGTATTTTGAATTTTTGAGTCGAATCCAGTTAAAACAAACCGCGAAGATAATCTTTCAGGAAATATTAGTTTTCGTTCGTATTGCATGCCTATACGTATAATAAGTGTCTTCATAATAGAACTATTTGCATTTTAACTATATTTGATAACATGCAGTAAATATTTACATATAAAAATAGAAGTTTTCTCTTTTAAACAACAATGGCCGGCTACGCTAAGTAAGTGATGTAAGATCCAGAAAACACAGTTTGAACAAAGTTATAAGGCATGTGTGATCATAAAAGTTAGTCATAACTCTGACCCTAACCTAACCGTAACCCTAGTTTTAATTTGACGACACCATCTGACTGTTTAACTTACTTTTAATGTGTTCCTTACACGAAGTAGTATATAACTGACAAATCGTGTTCTTGGCGCAGATACATGTGCGCTTAGCGTACCTATTTTTGATACGTAAAATAAACGAAAAGACATTCTAGGCATAGCTGACCTTTGTAGACACTGCGCGTCCGGGCATAACGCGGAAATGCAACGATAAGTAAATACGGCCTACATGCATATACTTATACCACTTTGCACGAGACTTTGCAAGTAGATGTAGATTATTTTCAA